AAGTCAAAATTATCTCTATAGAGATAAGTGCTACTCGTAGCAACCACAGCCAAAACCTGGCTTCTATGTCACCACTTAAGAGAGAGGACAGATGAAGCAATAATACAGAGACTGAAAATCATTCAGGTTATGGGTCAGTGAGGTCAAAAAAGATGATGAGATTTTCAATGGAAAACATGAATGAGTATTGGGTGGGTCCAGGCAATAAATTTAACACAATGAAGACTGACAGTAGGATTTGGAGGGAAAGGTCAGCAAGGATGTACTTGTCTGTTTGACCAGCAACACTCCTAACATACACCTTTAACATAGTAAAAACAATGGAGATAAGTTTATCCAAAGTAGATGGGTAAAGCCTTTGGAAGACTTGAAAGCTCATGTTATAACGACCTTTATTCCAGACCATCTTCCTGCGACTTAAGTTATAAGTTGTGTCTGATTATGGATGAAGTCCTGGAGGTATCAACATGCTGAATCAGAGTACTCTCCTTCAAGTGGATCTTAAAATTGTATTCAATTACAAATCACACTGTTATTTCTAATAAATTTTATTATATTAAACTACAACCAACTAGTAATTCTAAGTATATATATATATATATTATTAATTCTGAGGACCTTAATATAACGAATTTATTTTATGGTGTTCCCAGTGGTGATGAAGCCTACAACTGTGTCTGGCTCCAGCAAAGAACTGAAAATATCGTGGAGCTTCAATTAGGAGTTTCTTCAAGCAGTGAATATATTCCATCATTCTGTCGGAACCACCGGTTCGAACCTCACACTTGGGTAACCCTTGGAAGTACGTATATTTCCTACTCGTACACAGTTTTAAACAGTCACTTTTGCATGGTTGTAAACAGTGGAAGATTGGCTTATGAACTGTTTCGGTTCTACTTTTTGTGTTTCATTTGTTTGTTTTTTTCATAAAGATTCCGATGATTAAATACGTGGATCAGTTTATTTGTTCATTTTTGCTTTTGTGGCAAATCGCTTGGTTTCTCTTGAACTATGCGCAAAGATACACAAGGGCTATCTACGCTAGCCCGTCCCTAATTTAGCAGTGAAATACTAGAAGGAGGCAGCTAGTCATTACCACCCACCACTCTTGGGCTACTCTTTTACCAACGAAGAGTGGGATTGACCGTCACATTATAACGCTCCACAGCTGAAAGAGCGAGCATGTTCGGTGACGGAGATCCAAACCCTGCGAATCGAGCGCCTTAACCAACAGGCCATGCTAAGCCCATTATGGCAGTTCTTTCTCTCCGTATGTTATGACGTTGTCTATTTGATATTGACATTCTACATATCACATAATTTACTTGTTATATCGGTCTGAATATCTTTATCCAATGTACAATAAAGCATCCAATGGTTCCTGAATGACACCTTACGCAACAAATAGGCCAAACGGACACGTCAGAGACCTTTAATGTTTGAGTACAGCCATCCATTTTTATAACTTTCGACCAGAGAAAGAGGGCAACCAGACAGTAGCGCCACCACCATACAAAGTTACACTCACTTAGCCAAATAGCAGGGTTTAGTGGTAGAGTGATAAAGGTGGAAGTTGAAGCTTCTTAGTGGCAATTCGGGATTCGAATATTTTGACCCTCATTCCGGTATTCTAGCCAATAAAATAACATCCTTTAAATACCACATTCAAAGTTAATAAAAAAAAGAACACTACGATGATATATATGTTTCTGTGTGAGAGAATTAATTAACCAAAATAAAAGGTTGGAGATCTTAATGAAAAAATTGCTTTCTTGTTAATGTCTAAATATACATGCTCCGACGGTGCTCTAAAAAAAATTAATGTTACGTTTCCCAAATGTGCTGAATTATTTACTGCATGTTTTCAGTTTGTACTTAATCATTACTGGCGCACCCAGTGGTACAAACAAACAAAACATTAGTGGCGTCAGTATGTTTACACAGAGCTATTGCTGTCCACAATTATGAACTGAAAGAGTAGAGAGTTAGGGGTTGGAGGAGGGTAGCTAGTCAACACCACCCACTACCAAGTTCTGGACAACTCTTGTCTGAGCGAATACTGAGATTTCACCATCAGTCTTATAATGCATACACGTCCTCAAGGTGCGGACGGTGTTTTTCAGAAAGGGAACTCGAACAGATTAATCTGATACTAGAACTAACGTCTGTGTAGCAATGAAATAGTGTGAAACAAAGATCTGACAAATCTGTTAATGTCTAGTTACCATCTCTATCAAAATTAAAATATCTTAGAGACGAGAAGTCAATGTTTCATTTATTAATGTAACAAAGAGTAATGATTTTTTTCCCCTCAGGAATAGATGTCACCGAGTCTGAATCCTGTCCGATCTCAGGAACCTACATTGGAGCGGCATCTGGTGGAGAAAGATTGTGTGCTAAACTGGCTACAGATTGTGACAGCCCAGATATCTTATTTTATTCAATTAGGGGTTGTAAAGACAAGCCGTATTCGTATGGAGGTTAGTATAATAACAACTAACATGTACAGAAGGATGAAAACATTATATTAAAACGATTTTGAATATGCAAATCAGCAAGTCACGTTACATCCCAACCGATATAAAATAATAGGAACAGCATATTTCAGAACTACATTTTGGCATTGTTTGGTATTTTGTAATTAGTGTAATGCCACTGAAAGTCTATCGTTTTTGGGAAGGGGGGTGTAACAGCTATTTCCAAAGGAAAATACTCATATATTCATATAACAAAGATGTGTTGAGATCGGGTAATTAGAATTTCCCAGACGGATATTCCTTGTATTTAATGGCATTGAAAAACAAAGGAATATGGATCAACTTGGGGTACCAGAAACATCTATAATGAAACCTGCAACAAGTTATATCCCAGCCATGGTATGCAAAGTGCGGCATATTCTAATAGAATAGAATAGAATCTATGAACCCAAAGGTCAGTGGTAAAAGAAGTCCACATGTCCCAAGCAACAGTAGGCTAAATAATCAAGAAATATATCCATCCGGAAAAGCGACGTCTATATAAGTTTCTTCCACGACATATCCATTCAACCATTGTATGCCTCGAGCAGCTGGAGATTGAATTGAGAATTCATTTTATTCCATAGGAAGATATACCAATCAAAACACTGGATGCAGTACCTATGGATTTCTGAGTGATCGGACTGTTGAAATAGTCCTTGTAAAAACCAACGTCTTTGTACACTAGATGGATTGTGAAAACCTTGCCGAGAGGACTTAACCTCTATAGAAAGATAAAACTTAGTTAGATAATACATTTTAATTAACTGAAAGACTAGAAAAAGTAACTGAAAAGGGATTTACAAGAATTTCCTGGCATTGTGTGATTTGATTTATTGATATTATTGGTTGTTAAGCACAAAGCTACACAATGGGCTATCTGTGATCTGCCAATGATGGTTATCGAAACTCGGTTTATAGCGTCGTAAGATTGCAGACTTACCGCTGAGACATTGGAGGGGGGGGATCATTGTGTGGCAGACGACCTGCAGGGTTCATAGGATTGAAGAAACTGGTCGTCTTCAATCTGGTTTCTGGTTTCACAGCCGTAAAAATATTTGTCTGTTTATTTGTTTTGAATTTTGCGCAAAGCTACACGAGGACTATCTGCGCTAGCCGTCCCTAATTTAGCAGTGAAAGACTAGAGGGAAGGAGGCAGTTAGTCATTACCACCCACCGCCAACTCTTGGGCTACTCTTTTACCAACGATTAGTGGGGTTGACCACCACATTATAACGCCCCCAAGGCTGAAAGGGCGAGCATGTTTAGTGTGACGGGGATTCGAACCCGCGACCCTCAGATTTCGAGTCGAGAGGCCTTAACCACCTGGCCATGCTGGGCCTCCGTACAAATATTATAAGGAATTTGAATTACGACACTATTTAAATTCATTATAGATAATACTGCATCGCAACTTAAGGTATTGAAATCTGAAATATAAAACTGTGTTTGAAACTTTTACGTTTACTTTAAGCTTCTTTTCTTTCCTTCCAAATATAAACTCACAAAATAAGATATCCATATTTGATTTCAGCCTCAAGTGGAAGTGTAAACCACCAATCACAGAGCTTCTATGGTGATCTTCAAGAGCACGAACCAATAGGTAAGGTGAAGTGTTAATAGTTTTAAATGTATTGTAAAAAATACATTTTTCATCAGAGACGACCTTATGATACTTTATGACTGTATTAAAACTAACATAATTTAAAATCAAACATACATTGGTTGATGCATAAAAACTCGGCAGCATCAATTAATCAGTTTAATCGAATGGTAGATATTACTATATTCGGTTTTTTAAAAAAACTAAACACTGGAGATAAAAATAATGTTGATAATATTATGGTTTATCTCAAACATCTATTGGGTGCTTTCTGTGCAGTTAGCAATATTTTCTGATTTAATCCCAATAATGTTACGTGAAGTTTACAGGCAGCTTAAAAAGGTATAAATTAGGCCTAAACCATAAACAGAAATAACTAACAAACTTAATGTTATAAATACGTGAATATTTGAAAATTATTTCAAACAAATAATCACAGTATCACGATGGGTCAGAGATAAGTTTACTGTTTCAAAGCATGACAATGCTAAAATCCGGGGTTCGATTCTCCGCCGTGGACGGAGAATAGATAGCCCACTGTGTATCCTTGCGCTGAAAGAAGAAACAACAAAAACTAAACTAGTATCTACTTTATAAAACATATTAAATGTTAATAGGCTGATTTTAGGTTTTTATGTTAAAGTTAAAGGCCGATTGAAATCAACTTTTTACATTTCACTCACTATATTCTAAACAGTATGTTAATACGATTTATTCAGAGTCAAAGCTTTTAACAGGTGGTTTTATTAATATGCACCATTTTAACCTTCTTTCCTGTGATTATTCACACTCTTACAAAGTGGTTTCACACTTTCCAAGGGTGTGAAGTACTGATACAGGAGATACATCCATAAAACTGTAAATTCACACCGTTCATCAGATAGTGATTTCACACTTTCAAAGGTGTGAAGTACCGATACGGGAGCTACATCAATAAAACTGTAAATTCGCCCCTTTCATCAGATAGTGGTTTCACACTTTCAAAGGTGTGAAGTACCGATACAGGAGCTACATGCATAAAACTTTAAATTCACACCTTTCACCAGATAGTGATTTCACACTTTCAAAGGTGTGAAGTACCGATACGGGAGCTACATCCATAAAACTGTAAATTCACACCTTTCACCACAAAAAGTGATCTCACACTTTCAAAGGTGTGAAGTACCGATACAGGAGCTACATACATAAAACTGTAAATTCACACCTTTCACCACAAAAAGTGATCTCACACTCGTAAGTAAAATTATGTAATGCTAAATATTAACATTTTTAGAAGCCATACTTCATATAAGATAGCCCGTTGGATATCTTCACACTGAGAGATAAGAACAACACATTCATTTTAGAAAACACCTCCATCAGACTACTGTGACTGATTATGAAGACGCCATTGTTTGAAACTGAAACCAAAACTCAGCTTCTGACAAACTCTAGATTGTACGTAAATGTCGGTAATATACTGATTCGGAAAGTTCGTTCTCTTAGCAACAAACCCAGTTGTGGTCAAAAAGATTGGGTATGCAATTCCCACGCCTAGTCAAACATCGTGAAATGTTGCTGCGGAGATTTAACACCAGGAGTTAATGAATCTTTAACCAATCCCAGTTCACATCAGCTGATATTCGACACATCATCTCTATCAGCAGTAACTGTAAGCGCCTACATTGTTTGGTAAGCGATGTTCTTTCTAGAAGGTATTCCAAAAGAACCTCAGTTTCCTCTACTTGCCTTTCATTCTCTGCTCAGATTTTCCGGACACAGAACCTCGGGTAATATCCACTACAAGAAGAAAGCACTTGATCTGGAAGTGCTCCTGCGTCTCTTCATCATCTTGATATTCGTAATTGAAGTGTCTCTTCTTGCACAAACCTCCCACTTTGTTGGACTTGAATTTGGTAAATTGTCTCAGTTTCTCCGCTAGCTCACTTACAGCGATCTTTGCATCCTTTTCACAAAAACTCTTCAAGATATTTCTGGATGTAGATGAGGAGTTGAACAATATGAAAGAGGTTTCGTATTTTGTATTGCGTGATGTGGTTTGTACTGATGCGAACAAAAAGTTTCAAACAAAATAACAAATGTAACCACAAACTTTCAATTCTTGATCTTGGAGTGGCTGAACTACACGCTTCACTGTGGATGTAATCTTCCATTGTCTTATCTTTTTGGCATTGCTGTTAGAACTTCATCAACATTTTTGACTTGTTATTTCAGGACATTGACAAAACACTTTTGGCTTCTCATCTAGTCACAGACAATGGCTTCAACATGAGGGATGTAAAATATTGTTTAAATATTCGTCATATTTCCAAGTGTAACAAATGTAAAATATTGTTTAAATATTCGTCATATTTCCACGAGTGTAACAAATGTAAAATATTGTTTAAATACTCGTCATATTTCCTCGAGTGTAACAAATGTAAAATATTATTAAATACTCGTCATATTTCCACGAGTGTAACAAATGTAAAATATTGTTTAAATGTTCGTCATATTTCCACGAGTGTAACAAATGTAAAATATTGTTTAAATATTCGTCATATTTCCACGAGTGTAACAAATGTAAAATATTGTTTAAATATTCGTCATATTTCCACGAGTGTAACAAATGTAAAATATTGTTTAAATATTCGTCATATTTCCACGAGTGTAACAAATGTAAAATATTATTTAAATACTCGTCATATTTCCACGAGAGTGACAAATGTAATGGTAAACGACAATCTTGTGTCTACAGGTAATTTTGCTACATAATTTGTGCCCGGCATGGCCAGGTGGTTAAGGCGCTCGACTCGCAATCTGAGGGTCGCGGGTTCGAATCCCTGTCCCACCAAACATGCTCGCCCTTTCAGCCGTGGGGGCGTTATAATGTGACGGTCAATCCCACTATTCGTTGGTAAAAGAGTAGCCCAAGAGTTGGCGGTGGGTGGTGATGACTAGCTGCCTTCCCTCTCGTCTTACACTGCTAAATTAGGGACGGCAAGTGCAGATAGCCCTCGTGTAGCTTTGCGCGAAATTCAAAAACAAACAAACAAACAAGCTACATAATAAATAATGTGGTTTAAACTATGAGATTTACAAGACATGAAAATACTCTTGAGGTCGTATTAAGCAGATTGTTTTACAGAACTGTTTATCCTCCCTTTCCATGTTTGTTTAACTGTCATAACCTGGAGCCTTACAATTCTCTGTTCATGGACCAAATGATGTCATATTAAACAGATTGTTTTGCAGAACTGTTTATCCTCCCTTTCCATGTTTGTTTAACTGTCATAAACCTTGAACCTTATAATTCTCTGTTCATGGACCAGATGAATAAACAGTTCTGTAAAACGATCTGTTTAATATGACATCAAGACAACACTTTAAACACAGACAATTTACACTACAGATTACAAAACAACACTTTAAACAGAGACAATGTACATTACAGATTACAAGACAACACTTTAAACACAGACAATGTACACTACAAATTACAAGACAGCACTTTAAACAGAGACAATGTACACTACAAATTACAATACAACACTTTAAACAGAGACAATGTACACTACAGATTACAAGACAACACTTTAAACACAGACAATGTACACTACAGTTTACAAAACAACACTTTAAACACAGACAATATACACTACAGATTACAAGACAACACTTTAAACACAGACAATGTACACTACAAATTACAAGACAACACTTTAAACAGAGACAATGTACACTACAGATTACAAAACAACACTTTAAACAGAGACAATGTACACTACAAATTACAAGACAACACCTCAAACACAGACAATGTACACTACAAATTACAAGACAACACCTTGAATAGAGACAATATACACTGCAGATTACAAAACAACACTTTAAACAGAGACAATATACACTACCCACGTACTTGCAGAAGTAAAAACACTCTGAACTACATTTTGTAATATAAGAAGATAAATTCTTATTGACAGCAGCAATACAATTTTCTTATCTTAAAACAGCGTGAATCAACAGACAGTTTCCTGAGAAACCATTCACTGTCCAAGTGTCATGAAATATCTGGAAATCAGTATTCTGTGGTCATGGCTATTTCTTAGGGTTTTGTACGACTAACTGGAAACTTGAGTCTATAATGGAATACGATTGTTGTGTAAATTACACAAGGAAAAACATGGAAACTAAGTTCACCCACACATCCTACAGGACGAACAAAGTCAATAATTCTGAAATGTGTAAAGGACCAGGTGTTTCGCTAATTCTATATTGTAAAGTCATCATTAGCTAAACAGAACAAAACACCTTTCCACGTATGATGCATTGAGATACCTGGGGTCAGTATCTAGGTTGTCAACTTGTTGTATGTCTTTTTACATGTTCAAGACTGAACGGGACATTTCAACACTATTCCGACAATTAAAACCCCATGGTCCATGAACAGAGATTTATAAGGTTCCAGGTTATGCCAGTTAAACAAACATGGAAAGGGAGTAATCTGTAATGTACATTGTCTCTGTTTAAAGTGTTGTTTTGTAATCTGTAGTGTACATTGTCTGTGTTTAAAGTGTTGTTTTGTAATCTGTAGTGTACATTGTCTGTGTTTAAAGTGTTGTTTTGTAATTTGTAGTGTACATTGTCTCTGTTTAAAGTGTTGTCTTGTAATTTGTAGTGTACATTGTCTCTGTTTAAAGTGTTGTCTTGTAATTTGTAGTGTACATTGTCTGTGTTTAAAGTGTTGTCTTGTAATTTGTAGTGTACATTGTCTGTTTTCATTCTTCATGGATCATGGAATTACTGCTTTAGACATACAAGTGTGACTTGACGTTTTCATTTATTATTCTTGGCTTGTTTGTTTGTAATTAAGCACAAAGATACACAATGGGCTATCTGTGCTCTGCCAACCACGGGTATCAAAACCCGGTTTCTAGCGTTCTAAATCAGCAGACTTACTGCTGTGCCACTGGGGGGGGGGGGCGATTGTTCTTGACATCCTGAACATGCAGTGTAAGAATGTCATCACTATATTCTTATGGTTTTTTCTTTGCTTTACGTGGAACATTTTAGGAGGTTTAGGCTTACCAAGATACAAGAAGTTGACTTCAAGTCTGAAGTTAAGAGAAAATTATATTTTCGTTCTTTGTACCATGTTCTAAAGTCCTTATCATCTCTCGAGTGGTAGTAAATCATCTATTGTTTCAATGCAGTTATTGAGAAACACCTAGGCCTAGTCTAATATATTAATATATATTGTTGCGTCAGCGAGGTCACGTGACTAGTATCCCGCCACGTTATACTCGAACTTTCACGTCTTTTCCTTAAATCTCGTGATCTTTCTAGATATAGTGTAGTCTTGTATATATAAGACCGGCCACGAACTAATGGGGAGGTAATGAGTAATTGAATGTATGCAGACATAATATTGTTGGCCATGTGAGACGTGAGTTATAGCGTTGTTATAGAACGACTGTTGAAATTAAGTGTATCGTAAAGGTGTATTCGGAAAGAATAA